AGAAAATTTCTTTAGCGGTCAGGTTAGTTTCGCGATCACGTTAAAAGGACTTAAAAGAACAATTAATTATTTCATTTTGTAAAACCAAAAAAGAAGTCCCGACTTTGCCAGTCTATATCAGTAGTTATTAGGGTGTGTAATATCACGTTTCACCACAGTGCCCGTCTTATTTCACGTTGCTATGGCAATAGAATACAACGTGATGAAATATACATGTGTTCAGTGATTGAACACCATGTCACGTGTACGTGCATTATTCCCAATGTCTGAGCGCGGTGATTGCGTAATTACGTCATGTCAGTATTTCCATGCAGCTAAAAAAAGAGCTCCATGGTATTTCATACATCGTAGAACGAGAAATTAAAGTCTGCGCGAAAGACAGCTTATACATTCCATGATCGAGAAAAGGGATCACTGGCCAACTGTCACTTAAGTCTAAATATCCCATTCTATCTAATGGTCATCTATAATTTATGCGTCTCGGTCTACGTGAATTACTCACACGTGCATGGAATGCAAAATACGATTTATATAGAGGGCAATGTTTTCCGCGATTCTGACAGTATTTTTGACGGGACTGCGTCATGATGTAACATATATCTTGCAATGATTGTATATGTATATACAATAAATTTGAATTTGAACTCAGTACTAATACACGTTAAAACGTTCTCGCTGACAAACGGACAGACGCGGATGACAAGATCGTCTCGTTTTATCGTTAGTCATTAAATCCATTTATAAATGTGATGTGCTACACTGCTTTGTTTGTTCACACCAGATTCACGAAGATAGGGATTGATGTTGTGTTTTTCATTTGAAATTTAATACGTTTAATATAGCCAATGCACATGTTGTCGTTTATACGCCACATTTCCACCATACCATTAGTCACTATTTATTGTTGTGCATGTTCATCTCGGCGGGGGTGGGGTGGGGGTGTAAAGACTATCACCTGCACAACTTGGCTTTGATTCATCACAAATTAACCAACCAAATGTCCAAATTTACATTCTTTATCAAAATAGGGCGTAAATTCGATGACTCTCATCCTGCCATCATGTTTTTGGCTCGTAATAATAATGTAGTAGGGGAAAAACATCGCAATGTATTTTTCTACAGAAATTATTAAACAATTTCATGTTATTTCATTGTTGCATGCCCGTGACTGAACCCCGGTATAGGAGGCATATAGACTTCACGTTCAAAAACAACCTTTCAGCATTTCGTAGTATTGAGAGTCCTCTTTGTTGCAGAATAACGTAGATTTAAGATCCATTCATAACATGAAAGGTCGGTGCTGCGTAAAGATCGCCCTCTGTGTTGAAACTTGAATAAAGGTCATTCATCATTGAATGATATTGCGAAAAGTTTAGAACATTGATGTCTATTTCAGACGAAATGTAGAATTGCAGCCTCCGTTCTAGATAAACTATAGTCTATTATTTTGAATCCGAGTACCCGTGCACGTGTAACTATGATGAATTTATCTGGTGTAACTATTTGCCTCGCCAAGGACAAGGCACACAATGTTTAATCATGTTGCCATTCTCAGTATATATAGAGAGTGTTGTTTTTGTCTACACCGAGAATGTTCACACACATCGTATCTGTGAGAATAAGGGGCACTAATAAGGATATTTGTGTTTAATATGTCCTCAGACTAACTCCCCGCTGACGTCATTGTAGTGTAATATTATCCAGTACGTGACTTATTTGATTGGTGGTGTTCATGTTTTTTTTTAATGCAATGGCATATTTAGTAGCTTAGTAGTACTATTCTTATACCAATTTTAATTAGTTACATTTATTCAATGTTTTATTCGTGATTTTGGTGGAGTGAACTGTATTTCAGTTTTGCCTTGTCTTAAACAATAACATTAGCTTATCATGTTTTTTCCTCGTTCTATAATTACAGGTATTTAATGTGCTATTTGTGATATTAGTTGCGTGAAGTATTATTTCTGTTTTTGTTTTACAACCATAAAATTACTCTCTGTAGTAGATTTTCGTGTTGAATAAAATTATTATTATTATATATGAACGGTTTGATCTGTATAATATATGTTGTGTTGACCACAATATACAACTTTCAAGTTCTGTGTTTCTTTAATTTCAGACGGTCAATCGGTTACGGCTGACCTCTGCATCTGACTGGTTTGGCGTTGTTGGTGATTTTGACGATGCGCGGATGCCAGAACTCACAGTTACTCACATCTCAAATAACCTAGAACTCCACACGGCTGACGAATGGATCCATGATGATATACTGTTTTGGGATGATGAAAACGACACTAGAAATGATCCAAATCGTCCATTAGTGTTGATGTTCACATGGATGTCCGCCAAGCGTCGATACATTGAGAAATACGTCGATCTATATACATCAAAGAATGCCGACGTGCTCGTCGTCAAAATGGACCCGGTGAATTTAGTCTGGCCATCGACTGGACAGACAGTGGTCATCGATCTTCTGAATTATCTCGAAAAGGGAGAGCAACCCATTATCATTCACTCATTTTCCGTGGGTGGCCATCTATACGGTGAGATGCTACGTAAGGTTGAATCGAAGTGTGGTCGGTATCTACCCGTGAAAGATCGCATCATCGGACAGGTCTTTGATAGCTGTGCGTCTCCCAGAGGAAGCTTTAATTCCATCTGCGATGCCATCACCCAGAATCCTTTGCTGTGGTTCCTCTTGAAAGGGGTCGCCGTGACCTACTTCTGGGTGACCCATAAATACACAGTGGCTCACATCCAGGAGATTACTGAAGTGCTTCGCCATAATCCAATCAACTCACCCGTACTGATGCTGTACTCCCGTGACGATCCCATCGGTACTGCTTGCGAAAACGAGCGTTTCTCCGAATCCTGGAAAAGTGAGTTAGGATATCGCGTTACGTCTAAGTGTTGGGACAGTTCTCCTCATGTAGAGCATATGAGAAAACACAAAACAGAATATGTCGATGTGTTGTATAAATTCTTGAACACTTTAAAGCCATTTTATGAAACAAGTTAAATTTCTTTCGTGACGGGAATGCAACTGATCCGCCTCGCACTATGTTCATTATGTGTCTATCAGTTATTTATTAGGAGAAATGTACGCCTTTAGCATTTCGTGAAAAAAAACAAAAGCACGACGCCACTCCAGATAGTCGTTGGCGGCGCTCCATATACCTGGCTTCCTAGTGATTGACGTTGCTATAGTTTTTTCAATTTGTTCATGTGTCTATTGCAAATATGTAGAGCCATGTATTAAGAACTCATTTCAAATGAGGCACTATCTAACTTAAAGCATTTACACATAATTCACCCATCAGCACTCATTCACACGATTCATACATTATCAGTATTTACAGCTGTTATATAATTTACATGATTGGTATTTTGTTTTTGTAGTACAAATGCAAATTTTCTTATTTTTGATTCACCGACTATATCTTATACTTTTCAATGCACTACAGTTAAGCATTTTAATTAACGTGTATCTTGGAAAATACTTAATTAGCTTTTGTCACATTCCTTGTAATAGATAGAGGAACTGTAATTTTACTTGAGAAATTAAGAGTACAATGTAGATGTAAATAAACCAGTATAGGCTGAGATTGTATAGATCTACACCATTCAGTGTTAATAATATATATGTTGTACAAAAGAGATATGTGCACAATGGCCTTTGTTGTTTACACAATTGAACATTGTAATTCTACTGTTGTTTCAAAACAGTTTTAGTGATAATTGTTGACAAACTTGTAGTAAGCATGTTCAAACTTAGCTTGTCAGTAAATGTGTCACAGTTATTCTGACAATTTATGAATTTAACTGTAAAATAAAAAAAAGCAATGTTGCTAATGAATGTATAAATAAATACAACACAAGTCTCAGCCTAATCAATTATGCGGCACACCCAAATCAATCAATCAATCGAATATTATTTGAAGTGACATGAGTGGAAATGGACAATAGTATTTTGTTCTACAATTGTTTTCTATGGCATTGGTAGGGTGTGCACAGTCATCAAATGTAAGCGTTCGTATTTAACAATACAAATTTATTTAATTGTTTATTTTAATATTACTGTAGTTACAGTACCACCACAACTGTACGTGCTTCTTTATAAGTGCATTAGAGAGAAAGCCAGGTATTTTGTTAAAAATATATTATATGTTATGAATAATGAATAAATTTATTAAATATTAAAAATTATCGCAAATAAAAGATAGCTATGTTATTTGCTGTAGCTTCATGAGAGTGCAACCCTTGTCCATGTTGTATATTGTATGTATATAATGAGAAAACACAGTGACACAGTATAGAGTTGGTATAGAATTGTCAGAAAAGTGAACTTCCCCTTGCGTTCGAATTTTGACATTTAATGTCATAAATTAATTCAGTTCTAAATAAACGATTTACAGTATTGCAGCAAGTTATTCTCCTTAAACGAGTAACTAATACTCATACTCTATAAAACACATACTTTATATAGGCAATGATTTATAATATGTCAACAAAATCATTAGAATTTCCTTGTGTGATCACAGTATAAACTATAGAGAAATGTATGGACTATGCTATAATGATCACAGCAC